TAACCACTAAAAATGTGAAATTATGCTTAGTGCATTGGTTCAGTATGCTGACTCTAAATCTGAAGGTTGTGGGTTCAAATCCAGGGTGGGAATTTTATATTTTAACATTTTATTTCTTTTTGGGTAAATTGAAACTTTATAGTTAATTTCGTAACCTTTAAAAAGTGTGAAATTATGCTTAGTCCAATGGTACGGACTGCAAACTCTAAATCTAGAGGTTGCGGGTTCAAATCTAGGGTGGGAATTTTATATTTGAAAATTTTATTTCTTTTGGGGTAAATTGAAACCTTATAGTTAATTTCGTAACCACAGAAAGCATGAAATCATGCTTAGTGCAGTGGTTCAGACTGTTGACTCTAAATCTGAAGGTTGTGGGTTCAAATCCAGGGTGGGAATTTTACATTTTAACATTTCATTTCTTTTTGGGTGAATTGAAACTTAATAGTCAATTTCGTAACCACTCAAAAGTGTGAAATTTTGCTTAGTCCAATGGTACGGACTGCCGACTCTAAATCTGGAGGTTGCGGGTTCAAATCCAGGGTGGGAATTTTATTTTTTAAAATTGTATTTCTTTTTGGGTAAATTGAAACTTTATAGTTAATTTCGTAACCACTCAAAAGTGTGAAATTATGCTTAGTCCAATGATACGGACTGCAAACTCTAAATCTGGAGGTTGCAGGTTCAAATCCAGGGTTGGAATTTTATATTTTAAAATTGTATTTCTTTTGGGGTAAATTGAAACTTTATAGTTAATTTCGTAACCGCAAAAAGCATGAAATCATGCTTAGTGCAGTGGTTCAGACTGTTGACTCTAAATCTGAAGGTTGTGGGTTCAAATCCAGGGAGGGAATTTTAAATTTTAAAATTGTATTTCTTTTGGGGTAAATTGAAACTTTATAGTTAATTTTGTAACCACTAAAAAATGTGAATTTATGCTGAGTCCAATGTTACGGACTGCCAACTCTAAATCTGGAGGTTGCGGGTTCAAATCCAGGGTGGGAATTTTATATTTTAAAAATATTATTTCTTTTTGGGTAAATTGAAACTTCATAGTCAATTTCGTAACCACTCAAAAGTGTGAAATTATGCTTAGTCCAATGGTATGGACTGCTGACTCTCAATCTGAAGGTTGTGGGGTTCAATTCCAGGGTGGGAATTTAACATTTTAAAAATATTATTTCTTTTTGGGTAACTTGAAACTTTATAGTCAATTTCGTAACCACTAAAAATGTGTGAAATTATGCTTAGTGCATTGGTTCAAAATGCTGACTCTAAATCTGAAGGTTGTGGGTTCAAATCCAGGGTGGGAATTTTATATTTTAACATTCTATTTCTTTTTGGGTAAATTGAAACTTTATAGTTAATTTCGTAACCTTTAAAAAGTGTGAAATTATGCTTAGTCCAATGGTACGGACTGCAAACTCTAAATCTGGAGGTTGCTGGTTCAAATCCAGGGTGGGAATTTTATATTTGAAAATTTTATTTCTTTTGGGGTAAATTGAAACCTTATAGTTAATTTCGTAACCACAGAAAGTGTGAAATTATGCTTAGTCCAATGGTATGGACTGCTGACTCTCAATCTGAAGGTTGTGGGGTTCAATTCCAGGGTGGGAATTTAATATTTTAAAAATATTATTTCTTTTTGGGTAAATTGAAACTTTATAGTCAATTTCGTAACCACTAAAAATGTGAAATTATGCTTAGTGCATTGGTTCAAAATGCTGACTCTAAATCTGAAGGTTGTGGGTTCAAATCCAGGGTGGGAATTTAACATTTTAATAATATTATTTCTTAGTCTTAGTCCAATGGTATTATGCTTAGTCCAATTTTAAATTTTAACATTTTAAAAATATTATTTCTTAGTCTTAGTCCATCGGTATTATGCTTAGTCCAATTTTAAATTTTAAAATTGTATTTCTTTTGGGGTAAATTGAAACTTTATAGTTAATTTTGTAACCACTAAAAAGTGTGAAATTATGCTAAGTCCAATGGTACGGACTGCTGACTCTCAATCTGAAGGTTGTGGGTTCAAATCCAGGGTGGGAATTTAACATTTTAAAAATATTATTTCTTTTTGGGTAAATTGAAACTTCATAGTCAATTTCGTAACCACTAAAAAGTGTGAAATTATGCTTAGTCCAATGGTATGGACTGCTGACTCTCAATCTGAAGGTTGTGGGTTCAATTCCAGGGTGGGAATTTTACATTTTAAAAATATTATTTCTTTTTGGGTAAATTGAAACTTTATAGTCAATTTCGTAACCACTAAAAATGTGAAATTATGCTTAGTCCAATGGTATGGACTGCTGACTCTCAATCTGAAGGTTGTGGGGTCAATTCCAGGGTGGGAATTTATCATTTTAACATTTTATTTCTTTTTGGGTAAATTGAAACTTTATAGTCAATTTCGTAACCACACAAAGGTGTGAAATTATGCTTAGTCCAATGGTACGGACTGCCGACTCTAAATCTGGAGGTTGCGGGTTCAAATCCAGGGTGGGAATTTTACATTTTAACATTTTATTTCTTTTGGGGTAAATTGAAATTTTATAGTTAATTTCGTAACCACTCAAAAGTGTGAAATTATGCTTAGTCCAATGGTACGGACTGCCAACTCTAAATCTGGAGGTTGCGGGTTCAAATCCAGGGTTGGAATTTTATATTTTAAAATTTTATTTCTTTTGGGGTAAATTGAAACTTTATAGTTAATTTCGTAACCACAAAAAGCATGAAATCATGCTTAGTGCAGTGGTTTAGACTGTTGACTCTAAATCTCGAGGTTGTGGGTTCAAATCCAGGGTGGGTATTTTAAATTTTAAAATTGTATTTCTTTTGGGGTAAATTGAAACTTTATAGTTAATTTTGTAACCACTAAAAAGTGTGAAATTATGCTTAGTCCAATGTTACGGACTGCCAACTCTAAATCTGGAGGTTGCGGGTTCAAATCCAGGGTGGGAATTTTATATTTTGAAAATATTATTTCTTTTTGGGTAAATTGAAACTTCATAGTCAATTTCGTAACCACTCAAAAGTGTGAAATTATGCTTAGTCCAATGGTATGGACTGCTGACTCTCAATCTGAAGGTTGTGGGTTCAATTCCAGGGTGGGAATTTAACATTTTAAAAATATTATTTCTTTTTGGGTAAATTGAAACTTTATAGTCAATTTCGTAACCACTAAAAATGTGAAATTATGCTTAGTGCATTGGTTCAGTATGCTGACTCTAAATCTGAAGGTTGTTGGTTCAAATCCAGGGTGGGAATTTTACATTTTAAAAATATTATTTCTTTTTGGGTAAATTGAAACTTTATAGTCAATTTCGTAACAACTCAAAAGTGTGAAATTATGCTTAGTCCAATGGTATGGACTGCTGACTCTCAATCTGAAGGTTGTGGGTTCAATTCCAGGGTGGGAATTTAACATTTTAAAAATATTATTTCTTTTTGGGTAAATTGAAACTTTATAGTCAATTTCGTAACCACTAAAAATGTGAAATTATGCTTAGTGCATTGGTTCAGTATGCTGACTCTCAATCTGAAGGTTGTTGGTTCAAATCCAGGGTGGGAATTTTACATTTTAAAAATATTATTTCTTTTTGGGTAAATTGAAACTTTATAGTCAATTTCGTAACAACTCAAAAGTGTGAAATTATGCTTAGTCCAATGGTAAGGACTGCTGACTCTAAATCTGGAGGTTGCGGGTTCAAATCCAGGGTGGGAATTTTACATTTTAACATTTTATTTCTTTTTGGGTAAATTGAAACTTTATAGTCAATTTTGTAACCTCTCAAAAGTGTGAAATTATGCTTAGTCCAATGGTACGGACTGCCGACTCTAATTCTGGAGGTTGCGGGTTCAAATCCAGGGTGGTAATTCTATATTTGAAAATTGTATTTCTTTTGGGGTAAATTGAAACTTTATAGTTAATTTCGTAACCACAAAAAGCATGAAATCATGCTTAGTGCAGTGGTTCAGACTGTTGACTCTAAAACTGAAGGTTGTGGGTTCAAATCCAGGGTGGGAATTTTATATTTTAAAATTTTATTTCTTTTGGGGTAAATTGAAACTTTATAGTTAATTTTGTAACCATTAAAAAGTGTGAAATTATGCTTAGTCCAATGGTACGGACTGCTGACTCTAAATCTGAAGGTTGTGGTTTCAAATCTAGGGTGGGAATTTTACATTTTAAAATTTTATTTCTTTTTGGGTAAATTGAAACTTTATAGTTAATTTCGTAACCACAGAAAGTGTGAAATTAGTCTTAGTGCAGTGGTTCAGACTGCTGACTCTAAATCTTAAGGTTGCAGGTTCATTCCCATGCTGGGAATTTTAGATTTTTCAAAATTTTATTACTTTTTAGGTCAATCGAAACTTAAGTTAATTTTGTAACCACAAAATAGTGTAAAGTTGTGCTTAATAAAGTAATACGGACTAATGACCCTAAATCTGAACTTCTGAAGGTTGCAGGTTCAATTCCCACAGTTGGAGTTTTAGATGTTAAAAATTTTATTAATTTTGAGGTCAATTGAAACTTTATATTTTTTTCAAGAAAAACCAGTCCACACTTCTAGTCTAGCAAAAGCCAAAAAGTTAAAAAGCAAATACTTTTAGCTTGAAGCAAATAGTGAAAGCATTTGCTCTCATTTTTATTTATGCAAATAAAAGTTATCCTGAAAAATACGTAGTAAAAAAAAAGCAAATGCTAGTTTTTATACATACGACCGAATGTTTCAATGTTAATCATAATTGCATCGTTTATGTTTCAGTAATAGATATAAAGTGTTTGAGGACCTACGTGGATCTGGTTGAGCCTACAATGACACACATTCACTGAGCGGATTCGGGAATGCCCATCAAGAACTCGAAAAGATAGGAGAGACCAAGGCCAGTTTCTTTGGTAAAATTTTTCATTCAGGTCAGACAAACTTCCATGAAGACTCAACTCATTAGTTCAAGTCCCCCCCCCCCCCCAACTAAGCCCTAAGACAACACTGAGTGTACACTGTTTACAAAATATGTCAGGTTTTATTTAGTTAAGTGGCTTTCAGGCTGTTAGTTCTCCCACGTTTTAATGGTGGTCTCTCATTTGACATGTCGTCTTCAAACGTTCTCTTGTCGAAGCCGTCGGGGCAGAATATTTTTGGCGTGCTGTTGGAAAGATCAATTTCAAACTTTTGTTCTTGTGAAAATCCTATTGCGTGACATCACAGGGTGTGTTGTGATGTGGATGAGTTCTACCTGATTGATAAACGAGACCTGACTCAGAGGTGGCATGTCTTGGTGACAGTCCCTCGCTTGTCAGTTGGTACAGAATGTATTTGGTGACAAGTGAACGTCCTAATCCAAAGTCAAGGAGTCATGTCCAACAGTATCTCCGGGGTTATCCACGATGTTGACGAGCGGCTCCGAATCCTCCTCCGACGTTATCGTCATGACGACTGTCTGCTCCATGTTCCCAAGGGTGCCCTCCGAGGATGACATCATGGCCATGTGTGAGATGTCCTGTGATTGGTCGGTCAGGTCTGGTACCAAGACTGTAGATTCAGCTGCAGATTCCTCGGGGGTTGGTTTGGATAATGGGCAGGCCTGAGCGTACAGCCACAGCTGTGCTAGGTGGTGGTGCAGCAGCTGGGTGTGCTCCTCAGACGTGTTCAGTAACTCTTGCAAAATGGACTGGTTTTCGCTGTCGTTGGTCAGACATTTCAAACTGGACGTGTGCATCATGGACAGCTGCTGCTTGAGTGACGTGTTTGTGTTGGACAAATACTCAACCTGGAGGGCAAGAAGGATGGGCAGAGAAATTATTTGTTTACAGATGGAATTTTAATAGACCAATCCATTAGGCTCTGCCCCATGATGTGTAACCAATCACAACCGTGACAGCGCACACCAAAGTCCAAAATTTATGCACTTTATGATGTGTGCAGTTGGAGCATGAATGCCTACAGAGGCACAGGTGTTGTTGCCCAGTTATTTAGTGCCACTAGAGTATGAGTGCAACCACGGATCTTCTACACAAAGATAAACGACACATCTGAGCTTGTGAACAAAATGTGTGGAACGGTTTGTCTGCATATATGATATGCAGCGTCAGTGCATAGAACAACGTAGAACGTGTAGAAAATGTAGAACAATGACAACAACAGTGCACACCATGATCGCCCACAGCTGGCATCCTGACAGAAATCTGACCACTGAAAGAATGCAGTCGCATTAGTGTGCCTGCATTAGTTTTGATCAAGGTATGTCCCCCCTCCCACTTTTGAGAAGCAATTGACGCCTTTGATACCTGTTGCATTCAGGGAACAAGATCCACACTCATTCTTAGACCAAGACCAGATGGAATGCCCACTCACCTTTGTACGAAGCCTTTCTATAGTGCCTTTCATCCTGTGCTCTGTCTGGGCCCACGTGGTCCGCACCTCCTCAAGAGTCTTCTCCAGATGTTCCTTCTCCTGCAGCAGCAGCAACAAGTTGTGCTCTGTGTAGCAAGTCTCGTCCTCCAAATCCCCTTTGCTTCCTTCATCTGGTATCTCAATAAGGACAACTGTTTACGAGAGGACAGAATGGTCGAGGGAAAGGTTGAGTAATTATCCTGGATACTAATTCCTGTATTATAGAAAGTCCCTCAGGCCACTCCGGGTGAGGGCTACACAGAGGGGAACGACAGGAGTTTATGGAGTAGAAATGTCGACATGTATGTTGCGCTTCAATGCGACAGATAATCTGTAGCCTTAAAAACAGGATACAGGCGAGGAAGTCCCAAGAGATGCCGTGCGTGTCAAGAACACATAATTTCATGTAACTGGGTGTAAGCAATCACTCATTTTTCAAACCTTATTCCTAACATTAGGTGGGCAAGGTGAAAGACAAATTCCAGTATTTAATTAACTGTTGAAGTCCGCTTTCAAAATGTATTGCCACCCTGACTCTTTTTTTTTTTCAATTTGCTTAGAATCTTCTTGAATACTCCAAAATCCATCAACTTAAAAACACAAACGGCACACTCTGTGCACCTTTAAATTCCAATTTGTAAAATCCACTGACAATATCGGCCCTCACCCGCTCCAACCCCCTAAAAAAAATGCTGAAATTTTGGTTGTTTTTTTTTATTTCATGACTAAACAAGCCCAGGAGTGAAGACAACTGTTTTAAACATACTGTTGTCTACCCATTCCCTTCTTCCGTATGGATTCATGATATATCAATTGTTGGGGTTGGGGGGATGGGGGAAGAATTCTTCATTGCATCAAATGCTTCCCTCTAGGCTTTTAGTCAGCTTCTTCTAATTATCCTTCACTGCTGGTGGCATTATCCTCCCTAACCTCTGGGTAGATGCTGCAGAATTCTTGGAGGGTCAGGGTTAATATTCTTACCATCTTACCTTCCCCATTGGCAGTGCTCTGGCTCGGATCATTGATGCAGGCGTACTGGTACTCGATCTGCGACTGCTGCCCGTCAGTCTGCTCATAGCCCAGGGATGATGTGTCCGTCTCCGATGGCTGCTGTGACTGGGGGACTATGAGGTGTGTTACCAGGCTGGCACTGTTGGGTGCTGGGTCAGTGTATGTGGTGAAGATCTGGTTGACATCCTGGGTAAAAATGGTGGAGTGAAGTCGTTAAGGTTGATAAAATGAGACTAAAACCTGCAGGGTTGCAAAAGATTCAATTAACGACACAAACGTACAGTGATAAAATTAGGTTCACAATTAATTATTTTAAAAGGCACGGAGTGTTGGCATTTGATATAATCCACCCAAATCCTTGTAGAACTACCATACCTGCTCACAAGGTACATAAATTTCAACTGATTAAATTTATTTCATTTTTTTTTTTCATGCAGATGAAAGGGGACCATTACATTACAGCAACGGCATACCCAGTTGTCTTGAAGCAGCACTGAAACTGTGAAGGCTAAAAATAAGTGCATTTTCAAACATTTTAAGCCAAAAAGGTGTGTCTAATCATTCTCAAAAGAATGGATACTTGAGTCAAATGTTTGATTGAGAAATTTATTTCAGAGAGTCTTTTGACCCTAAATCCCTAGCATGATTTACTAGGAACCATACCCATCCTGGCAACTTCCAACACCATATGGGAAACTGCGCACACATATTTCTGACTTTGATTCTGGAGGTGTGCCAACCCAATGTAAAAGACTGTCAGTTTAGGGGTACTGTACCCATCCTGACAGATTCCAACAAAACATGTCATTGGAGTTTGATGGGTTGAGTTCTGTTATGGTTGAAGCTATAAATAAGTCCAATGAGGAATTTACAACATTTTCTGAGTGATCCATGGTAGTTTAACCACATGTGCAAACATTGATCAGCTTATTACTGTTGATGCAGTTTAAAAGGAATAAATGTGTGCTTGGTCGGTTTTAATCCGAGCCGAAGGTGAGGGTAATTATCAGCACCCAGACTCCAACCAGTTTTTAAACAGAGTGATTAATACCGACCAAGCACATATTTATTCCCATTCATAAAAACTTTTTCGGTAAAAGAAATCAAAACTTTTGGTCAAAAAACCCCGATTTTGTTCAACAAGTTCACTTCATGTTTTTTAAACACCCCTCTATAGCTAAATAATGGAGTGTCTAGCTCGCGAGTAAGATGTTCACAACTCCTTTTATGGAGATTGGCGCGCGCGTTCGCACGTACTGTGTGATGTCGTGCAAGACGCACCTGGAGATTGCGTTGTTAATTTAGGACTTCTTCTTCTGTTGTACATGTATGTCCTTAGACATGCAGCTCTGTCGAGGTGAGCCAGGCCAGTGTGCCATCCTCCAGGTTGATCAGGTGACCGGTGTTTTGGGCAGGCGGTGATGATGTGGTCTACTGTCTGGATTGGTTCTCTGCAGTCGCAGTAAGTGCTGTCTGCCAATCCCCAGCTTTTCATGGATGTACCATAGCGTCCGACTCCAGTCCTCAGATGGTAGAGGGTCGTCCACTGCTTTCGTGGGAGATCTTGACCGCACACATCCTTAGAGTTGTTTATGATGGTTCTGCTGAGGTCCACCAGACTCTCCAGCTGGTTTTTACCCAGGCGGCCTTAGAGAAATCTGCTGATGTCGTGAGCAGCTTGTGGGCGTGGATGGCAAACAACCTGGAGCCTTGCCGGTCTCTAGCCGTTGGATGGCCAACTGGAGTTTGTGTGCCGTGAAGTCGCCTGAAAGGTTGGGATCACACCCCTGCGCATGGCGCAGCTCCTTGACTCTCGCCGACGTGATTCTAGTAAAGTTCTTGTTCGCGTTGGGGAAGCGACCGTTGCTCAACAGCTGATACGCGATGGAATTTGCAGTAATTGGACATTGTGTTGGGGTTGTGGACCTACCCGTGAGTTGTTGATGGTTTGCCATGCCCAACAGCTGGAATGGGTGAAATCCATCGATTCCACAGTCTCTGTCCATCTCTGCCTTCATTTCTCATAGAGCCTACCCAAAAGATCATTGGCTGCTTTATCCCTGTCTTCGTTGGTCGTTGCTTCTTCATGGGCGCAAAGTAGATCTTCACACTCGCCAATCCAGCAGGGGACGTAGGCCGTGAATGATGCCGTGGACGATGCAGGATCTACAACACCGCAATATTTTAAGACCTGGGGAGGGATACAGTAGAAGATTGGTTTGACAATTATGACAACAGCTGACAGCCATATGCACTTTGACAAAACATGAACTATGGATCTTTTTATATGGTTCTCTTGCTGTAACAGGCACAAGTAAGCTATTGACCTGAGTTAGGACTCTTGTTCAGGCAAGGGATGCAAAGCTTTTCCCAAGACACAGTCGGCGTTTGGGCATGGCCTGTGACAATTGAGTCTATCGAACACTGATATCTGCTAAGAATAACCAGCCCAGGTATCTGTCAATTTCATAAAACTCCCACAAATGCCACTACCTTGTCCTGCTGTCCACTACCTTCAACTTATCTTAATTCAACTCACAAACCTTTTCACAAACACGGACCACAAGTCATCTTGTAGCATGACTCATGAAGAGAAAGTGAAAACATTGTCCTTAACCTAAAACTTATTTCTTGGGATCCAGTCACAAGTATGCGAGAGCTTGGTCTTGTTCCCAAATGCAAACTCACCCCCAAAGTTGATGCCTTTATCCACGTGCTTGACCCTGTAGTGCGCCTTGAGGAGAATCTCATCAGTGAAGAGACTGTCCTGGGAGCAGAATGGACAGTGCAGATGCGGAGCCTTCATCAAGGAGTGGCTACACTCCCTGTCTGTGCATTGTATGGGCGTCCAGTCTGCCTCAGCGCCTTTCATTCGCACCGATGGATGCGCCTACAGTTGCAAAAACCAATGAGACAACCGTCAAGTTTACATGTATGATGTAAAAAAACAAATGTAAATGTATGAAACGGCAACACCAATTAAATCTTCACAGAAGTTTTCAAAGTGGAGAGGGGGAAACAAATTAGGCCAAATAAAAAAACAAAAACATGTCTAGCGTCCCCGCCTGCTTCCTTTTTGGAGGCTGCCTCCTTAGGTTTTTTTTTTTTAAACCAAACTTTTTTTAAATTTTCAATAGTGACATCAGTGACATTGTATCTGTTGCATCATGGAGCTATAAACAAATTTCAATATGAAGCTGGTATGTAATTTGCTGAGTCCAATGGCGGCCATTTAAAAAAAAAATGGCAGCCATCTTGAAAAATAGCCCGGTTGGGCGACCATTGGGGAGGACAAAAAAAAAGAAGGGTCTCCTGCTTCCTTTTTTTTTCAAAAAGCAGGACCTAAGCATATTCTTTTTGGAAAGATTCCCACATCTGGCCATCACTTGTCATCCTGTGTACAAATACAATGAGACTGGTCTGAAAATTTTAAAGTGTTTTCTCAGTAAATAGGCCTACCCAAATAAATTCCCTGCTAAATTTGACATACTTTCTGATGGCTGATACTGATAGGTCGCTGAAGGAAAACATTATTGATGGCCAGATATGGGAATCTTTCCGAAAAAAAGTAGCACTAGCCATACTAGGGATAGCGAGCAGCAGCCATTCAATATTGTGAAGTGTCCGGAAACTGGGCGATTTCACATTTTGCTTTTTGTTTAAAAAAGTCATACGACGAGGTGTCCAACTTAAAAATATAAATAATTTTCCAGAATATCTTGGGTACCTACCACATGAATAGCCATATTCAACAACTCCTTTGCCTTGAATAATCACATAAATAAATAAATTCCGGGGAAAATATCAAGGGGAAAAACTAGTGTTCAGCGTAAACAGCGCCCTCCAGAAAAAAAAAGAAAAATGTGGGTTTAAAGGGTTTTCCAAAATTCGATTCATTCCCAGTGCGGCTTGTTCTATTAAACCAATTTGAAGAAGAATAATTATGTAATTTCCACACAGCTACTCAGAAAGTGTGGGGTGTCAAATAAGAAGAGACAAATAGGTATTATTGGGCTTCCGTTACGGGAGACGCAGGCATCTCGTTAAAAAAAGAAGGATGCCAGTTCAATGATGAAGCTGCGAACCTGCGACGAAGGCCGAGGTTTCGAAACAGCTTGCATGTGAGGGACACATGAGGGCAGCATTCAACAACATAAACACGCGACTCTTGAAAATCTGGCGCTACCCGTATTCTTCCGAGTGGCTGAAAACTTTCTTATTACGTCAGTATCAGTACTACAAGTTTGTTTTAATTAAAGGTAACATTAATTTGGTTGTTTTTAACAGCTATTGGTGCAATCTGCATTATTTTATTTAGTGAAACGTACTGCAGAAGTAGCCGTCATGGCTGCACTCCCGTAGACGCACGCACTGGCATGACTGGCACTGCGTTTATCAAGAATGTCAGACAAGTCGACCGTTGGCCGTTGAGACAACTCGACTCGGGACAAGTCGACCGTTGAGACAACTCGACCGTTGAGACAAGTCGGCTCGGGACAACTCGACCGTTGAGACAGCTAACGTGCACCGGAGATGCGCGCACAGGCCCGGCAAAAACGAACAATGTGCACGGACAATCACGCTGCGCTATATCGGCTCTGCTCTGTTATGTGTCATAACTCCCAAACGGCGATCAGCCGCCGTCAAAATCCCCGGTACTATTTCCCAAACTAGGCCCAAAAACATGCGAGGCGACTTGTCTCAACGGTCGACTTGTCTTTCCATTTATCGCACATACGGTCGAGTTGTCTCAACGGTCGAGTTGTCTCAACGGGCGACTTGTCCCGAGTCGAGTTGTCTCAACGGTCGACTTGTCTGACCCCCTTTATCAATAGCGTTGTATCATTGTATCTAATTTGTCATGTGTGTTCGTGAAGAGTTTGAGAGGCTGGAAAAAAGAGTTGGCCGGCTATCGTGCATTCATAGTGCAGTGTTACTCGACGGTTGCCGTTCCAGTACCGCACTGTGATGCGAGTGAACCTCTTATTAATGCATGAAACAGTCATCGGGTATTACGCTTCCGCGTCACGTCATGCACCGACCGCAAAAACGCCTAGTACCAGCGAGCTGTACGTGCATGGTAATCGACCGCCATTCATTGTACACAATTTTTTTTTGTGCACAAACCAATTGTGGTCCTGGCCATGCCTGCAAGGTTGTCAGGTTAGCGGTTATTCCTCCTGTTTTTACTGCAATTGTAGGCTGAATCTTCATCGTGGATCGTATTTACTTCAAGGACCTGTGTAATGGTTATTCCAGGCAAGTTTGGGGTGAGTTGCAATTGCAATTAGTGTGTAACGGGGACAAAATTGAACATTTTCCAAAAATGTTTGCCTATACTCTATCGGTTACAAGAAAAACTAGCTCCAGCCCTAAATGACAACCCAATGATAAAACTCAGGGCTGGGTAACTCCAGCTAGTATCATTGTATCTAATTCGTCATGTGTGTTCATGAAGAGTTTGAGATGCTGGGAAAAAAGTCCATACTGGGCCACCAGGCAAGATTACCATATGCGAAGTTCACTAATTTTCCTCTGTATTGACTAACAAGCCCGGCCCCAGATAGCAATTTCATGTCATCAAAGTCAATTTGAGCAGTGAGAAAATACAAGCATTTTCTTGGAAAACACTTAGAATTTTTCAGTCCAATCTCATAGGGTTTGTACACAGTGTGTTGAGTGAACTTCGTATATGGAAATCTTTCCGGCCACCACTCATATTCCTTAATATGACCTGAAAAGTACCAATTATTGCCAAAAGTTGTAAATCTGATGAAGAAACACTTTATATAAAGGAGAGCAAAAATTCTTTGATAATACCTGTTCTGTCATTGCCCGGCCAAAGACTTTGTGCAGGAACTCTGAGTGGTGGCCCAGTATGGAATTTTGTCCGACCACCCCAACTAGTTGGCAACATTGAGAACATATATAGGGGTACTTCTGAAATCAGAAGGCTTCTCTCCGTCAGAGAAGCCTTCTGATTTCAGAAGTAATATAGGGGTAATCCTTATCTTTAGGACACTTCTATTATGAGTACTAGCTGTTCAAAACTGACTTTTGCAGATGATCTTGACTGTCCATTACCAAAGTGACTTTTGCAGGCTAAAGCAGCATTTTTCCCTCCGATAAACTCATGTTTGTTGCAATTTTGAAACACTTTCAAAGAAAATGTGACTTGCCTACCGTTTTTTTGCAGTCAGACGTGAGTACTCCTAGACACTAATTAAGTACAAAAATGTCCATCAAAATGCAGACATTTCCCACAGAACCGCTGCACAGTTTGCCCCTAAACTCCGCACTATACCTCATGACATACTCGCGTAATATGCGCAGAACAAACATCGCTGGATTTTGTCGTTTTTTGGGCTAAAATGATGAAAAAATATGCCCTTTCCACACTGAGCCAACCTGACACTTGAAACTTGCACGCATATGATCCAGCGATGATTTTCAGTTGCAACAGAAATGATAGTATGTGCATGCGTACAAATGCAAGTACCGTACCCCCCCCCCCCCCCCCCCCACGGCGCGCTCCGAGCGAACCGAAAAATCATTGCTGGATCTTCTTCTTCTTCCAGTAAGTACATCCATCCATAGTGGAGTATTGTCGTACTTGGGTGCAAAAGTGCTCGGTCACGGGAACAAATATTAACGAAGAGTGCAGTAAACTAATTTAGAACTTGGTGCAAGTAAAAACGATGCCCCTGTGGCATAACTAGCGGAGGGTGAGAGGTTTCAAGCTAGTCCGGAAAATCTCCAGTGACTGAGCTGAAACCACGGTGGCTGGTAGGGCATTCCAGATGCAGATGACACTTGGAAAAAGTTGTGCTGGTATGATAGAATTCTACAGTGCTGTTGTGTGAACTGCTGTTGGTGGCCCCTATTCTGGTTTGATGAAGAGTACAAGTAGGGTGTGGTAGCAGGGATGGCAACAAGACCGTGCATTATCCTGTACAGCATGATGACTTTGTTGTGGGCTCGACGTTCGTAGAGAGTCTGCCATCGGAGATTTTGTAGCATCTGGGTGACACTATTCCGTTGGTTGTAGTCAGCCGTTACAAATCTAGCGGCACGCCGTTGCACCATATCAACCTGGGAAATCAGGTCCTGTGTATGTGGATCCCACACCGAGGATGAGTATTCAAGGGTGGGGCGGACATAGGTCTTGTAGGCCTGTTCCTTGATCTTTGGGGGGCATCTTCTCAGGTTGCGGCGAAGAATGCCGAGGGTGCTGTTGCTTTTCTTACAGATGTTTTGAACATGGGGCTTCCAGCTGAGATTTCGATGGATGGTGACACCTAGGTACTTTGCCTCATCTACGGTACGGAGTGCAGTCCCATGGATTGAATAAGGGGTTGCTCCGTGGATGTTGTTTCGCTTGTTTGAGATTCTAAGAACTTCACATTTATCGCCGTTGAATGACATTAGCCACTTTTTCTCCCACTCCTGAAGGTTTGCAAGATCCTTTTGAAGAATGGCAGTGTCATCTTGAGATTGGATGGGTCTACTCTATACAGGAGAGCATCATCAGCGAAGAGGCGTAGGTTTGAAGAAACGCACTCAAGCAGGTCGTTGATAAAGACCAAAACAACAGGGGCCCCAGTACGGTGCCTTGGGGTACCCCTGATGTTACACTGGCAACGCTGCTCTTTTTTCCCTCTAGAATAACTTGCTGGGTACGTCCTGATAGGAAATCTCGGATCCAAGACAGTAGCTGACCTCTGACCCCATAGTGATGGAGCTTCAGGAGGAGACGTTCATGAGGTATTGAGGTACTCGGTCAAAGGCCTTCGAGAAATCTAAGAGGATTGCATCGATCTGCTGCTTGTCTTGTAGACCTCTGGCCAGGTCGTCTACTGTTAAGAAGAGCTGGGATTCGCAGGATCGCTTCTTTCTAAATCCAAATTGGCATTCTGTTAACAGGTTGTGGGTATCAAGGTGTTGAATGATCTGGCTATGGATGATATGCTCAGCTGTTTTGCAAACAATAGATGTGAGAGATATGGGTCGGTAGTTTTCAGGTCTGTGTTTGTCACCTTTTTTGAAGATTGGAGTTACATCCGCCGATTTCCACGCATGTGGGATTTTTCCTCGGTGAAGGGTAGCATTGAAAAGTTGGCAAAAAATAGGCGCAAGTTCTTCAGCTGCCTCTTTGAGAAGATAGGCAGGCAGATTGTCAGGACCACAGGCTGTGTGGGGCTTGATGTTGGCGAGGAGTTTCCTTACACCTTCACTAACGATGGAGAAAGATGGAACTGTTGGGTGCGGGCTGGTGCCAAGATCTGGTAGTTCTGATGCGTTCTCATCAGTGAAGACAGAAACAAACTGGTCATTCAGCATATTGGACTTCGTTGTGCTGTCACTTTGCAGAATGCCTTCACTCATCAGTGGCGCAACACCGGAGTTCTCGCATCGTTTACTCTTAATGTAAGACCAGAACCTATTCGGGTTACTACCTTCTTCGCACAGCATGTCACTGATGTGAGTGTGGTAAGCTGTTCTGCAGTCTCTTTGCATCTGTTTCTTGAGGTTCTTGTATCGGGTCCAGTCACTCGATTTCTTCGACCTACAAGCTCTTTTGTAGGCTCTCTTCTTTCTTCTAGATGGGGCTTTGATATGGCGATTGATCCACGGTTGACTGAATCTTGTGGAGGATAGCTTGGAGGGGACCATCGTATCCAAGAGTTTGTTAAGGAAGGTTGTTAACTGGCTCCAGAGATCATTGACATTAGTATCAACAGAATTGGATGTGACGAAGTGACTGCCAAAGGTGTTAATTTCCGACTTGATGCTGCCCATATCAGTTTTCTTCCACAAGAAGATTCTTCGTCGGACTGGCTTTTGTCTTTTGGCACGGATGTCAGATACAGTAAGAACCATCTCGTGGTCGCTCACTCCAGGCACAGGCATACATTTACTGACAAGGGTTGGTCTATTTGTAAGGAACAGGTCTAAGATGTTCTTATCTCTAGTTGGAGTGTCCACAGTTTGGGTTAACCCCAAGTCGTTGAAGGTAGAAATGAAGCAGTTGTTGATTGCATGACTGAATTGGTGACCAACAATAGCCGCTGTAGCCCAATTTATATCAGGGAGGTTGAAGTCTCCACTGAGCCAGACTACAGCCAAAGGGTTACTAGTGATGATGCGCTGGATGGACTGGCACAAGGTCTGAACGTAGGCAAGGTCACGATTTGGTGGTCGATACGCCAACATAACAATGAGGGGTTGATGTCCATAGAGGTGGATCTTAGTTACCACTAGTTCGCTATCGCTATTCACTTTGATTTCACCATCGATGATGTCATTTTTTGTAGCAAGCAAAACACCTCCATAACCATCAGTACGGTCTTTCCTAATGGGAGGATTATATCCAGGAGGCATCATTTCTGAGCTCAACATAGATGGTTTCAGCCAGGTTTCATTAGCAATGATTACGTCAGGCTGACAACTTTCCACTGCTTCCCAAAACGCTTCCTTTTTAGCATTCATGTTTTGTAGGTTGACCGAGAGGACCTTTAAGGGCCTGGGATTATTTTTCCTTCTTTTGGAGGACCTATTTATAGGAGAAGACTGCTGGAGGGGAGAGCTAGGGTTAGGCTCAGAGTCAATTGATGAACGACTCGGAGTCAATTGATGAACGACTCTGGATCATTCATATGCGTGCACGTTTCAAGTGTCAGGTTGGCTCAGTGCGGAAAGGTCATATATTTCATCATTTTAGCCAAAAAACCGACAAATTCCAGCGATGTTTGTTCTGCGTATATTACTTGAGTATGTCATGAGGTATAGTACGGAGTTTAGGGGCAAACTGTGCAGTGGTTCTGTGGGAAATGTCTGCATTTTGATGGACGTTTTTGTACTTAATTAGTGTTTTGTGCTGCAAACAATTTTGCGGGGTTCTATGTGGAGCCTCATAGTTCTAGGAGTAAAACGTGAGATGTGCTCATTGTATTTCTCACAACACGAGTGAAAGCCCAACACAATGCAAGCCCAATGCTGATTGGCTGCTAAAAAAAATAAGTAAAATATTTTTTTTTATCAGCCAATCAGCAGTGAGCTTTTACATTGCATCTAGCTTTCACATTTGCCATCTTGGTTTTTGAGTCTGTTTTCTGGTTGTCATCGTCTTTTAGTTCTACCCCTTAATTTCCCTCGTAAATCAAAGCCCTGTCCTCTTTCCACAAAATTAAAGTTTTGATAATAAAGAAGGTGTCATTACCACCTGTTCAGATGTGTCAAGAAATATCAGAATGTCACTTTTTAGTGTCATTTAGTGGGCTGTTTTGATGAGTCTTTCAAATATAGGAATGGGTCCTAAATGTAAGGATTCCCCATATAGGTATGTCATAGATAAAGGGCAGTGTTTTTAATATATGAAGAAAATTTGGGGGTAAAATGACGACGACAACGACAAAATGCAACACGAAAATAAAAATGGCGATCACCACGCGATGGACCATGTGTACCATGAGCACACAAGTCGCGCTGCACGACACCAACTGGCCTGTAAACCGCGTAGGATAATCGTAATTTCTACCCTAAGAAACTTTTCAAAAATTGCCAAAAATGTGTCAAAACATTGAGAGAAGTCTGTTTAAGTTGACAATGTCATTTTTTTAGAAACAAAAAACATTCTTGATTCTAATTTGATAAAAACAAAACAGGGGCCCTACACTACACGATTGCCCTAATTTTCCCCTTCAGTGACCTATCAGCCATCAGAAAGTGATAATAGGCCTGTGTCCTAAAAAGTCAGATTTAGCAGGGAAATGTTGAAGTAGGCCTGTATTTGAAATTGAGAAAACACAGACATTTTCAGACCAGTCTCATACGGTTTGTGCTCAGGGTGAAAAGTGATGGCCAGATACGGGAATCTTTCCAACCACAGCTCCAATGCTCATCGGGAATTCAACATTATATGAGCTGGTGGTAGTCCCAGTAACTTATCGCTTTTTTCAACATTCAGACATGGTCTGGCAAGTAGGTCACCAGACCATGTCCGAATGTTAAAAGGGCGATAAGTTGGGTCCAAGTTACTCGGACTAAAGCTGGAGGAAGACATCTGGTTTTTGTTCAGCAGCCACAATATGGCAGAGGCTGTAAACAATGGCCTCGGAAAACCATTGAAATCATTTATTTTCTTCATATTTTAGTTTAATAAAGCTAGTTTGAGTAACTCCAGCTCCAATGCTCATCAGGAATGCGACATATAGCGCTAAAACTGTGTTGTGCAGACACAGGAATATATGGGAACATGGGAATCTTATGCTTTCAAGGTTTTGCCACCTCAAGAGACCTTTATATTTTAATACTTTTCATTTCTGTCATGAAGAGGAAATTCATGTATTTGAAATTGATACTAGATTCTAAGAGGCCCTAAAAACGGGACTCTCTGTATAGGTCTGTATCACAAAAATGGTCCTTTTCCCCTCTATTAATCCCAACCCAGATTGTGATACAGATACAGAGAGCCCTGTTTTTCAGGGCATCTTAGAATCTACAACATACTTTTAGCTCCATGCATCTCTATATGTCGAATTCCTGATGAGCATTGGAGCTGGAGTTACTCAAGCTAGTACAAAGCATTGTTCTGTTTCAAGTCGACCATTTGCTTCGTAAATGATTGCTGCAGGGCGTGAAGTAAGTTTTAATCTCATCTGGGTTTGGATAATAGGGGAAAAAGTAAAGTTTAGTATAGGCCAAATTTCACGGCCTCTGCCATTTTTCAACTGCTGGACAAAAACTAGACGTGCCTCCAGCTCTACGTGTCAAATTCGTGATGAGCATTGGAGCTGGAGTTTCTCATCTCCATCTTGTATGGCAAGTTTTCAAAACCTTAATTTTTGGGACTATCATAGACAGTATTGAGAGTTCCAAATTTTTGGACTAGAGTTTCTCAAGCTAGAGCTGGGGGAACAACTATTGGAAAGAGTTCCATACCTGGACATCACTTGACACCCGATGCAATATGTATGAAAATCTTCCCCAACTATTTTTTCCCCAGCAGTCAGAAAATGGCGGAGGCCATGAAAAATTGCCTCAACTGAAATTGTCTTTTCCCCCCATTATCCAGAACCTAATTGAGATTAAACTCACCTAATACAATGCAGAACTCATCACAGAGCAAAGGATCGGCTTGAAGCAGAACTACACCGACTACAAGATGGGGGGAAAATGATGATTTTGGTAGCTTTTCGGACAGAACCGTCGCGTTGCAGCCGTGTTGTGGCGACATTTACGACTCGCATCTGAAACTGGTATGGTAACCACATATACATATGGTAACCACATATACACAAAATGGTTATCATACTATTTTCAGGTGCGTGTTGTGATTTCAAATTTCGACCCCTCCCCCTAGATATCCCACTGGTCATGGCTTTCAATAGTATGCAATTGCTTTATGTGCAGTTTCTTTATATTTCCAGTGTGTTTGTGGTCCAACGTAATAACACCAAAATGGATGAGAAGCAGGGACCAACTTCTGATGATGTCCCAACTGGGGAGTCAACATCAACCACAGTTACGGAGGGTGATGTTGGCAAGATGCCAACAGATGTGGCCATCACTATGGATGCTATTCCCAATGAAGATAAGGAGGACAAATCCAAAGGTGACTTGTTATTCTTTTACGTGGTGAAGACGTTTGCCCCTTTGCCAGGTCAGCTAAGTGTAATCCCAGTCATGTGATTTTGTCCATTCTTGCCAATTGGAGAACTTAATACTTTATTCCAGTGGAATTCACTTTGCTGCAAAAGGTTTCATTGTTTTCCAGGTTGTTTTTTTAAATTGGGGGATCGAGGGTTCAATTTCAAAAAAAAAATGTCATTGTTGAACTGTCCAACTTGTTAATTTCTGATGAATGAATGCAAAGTTTACAAAGCCATTCATATCTTAAAACATTAATTCTTTGTTGATTAATATAAAGCCCATTGAAAAAAGGTAAATAAAAATATCAAAATATTACGAGGCATCAACAAAGTACCAAGTATCAGAAAACCTTACCAGCTCAAGTACCAGACTGGTGATAGTACAAATCATTGTTTGTGTTTGGTAGTGTTTAATTACGTACAAAAAGAATAGTTTACAAGTAATGAGTGATTCAGAGTGAAATGGGAGGAATATTATCGCAAGGTAAAATCTGGACTTTTCCATTTCACGAGGCAAAGCCAAGTGAACTCGGAAAGTCCAGATTTTACCAAGCGATAATATTTCTCCCATTTCACAATTTAAAGCCATTCATTATTTGTTTTATATAACTGACTTATATATCCTTGTCATTTGATATACTTTAATTTTTATTTCAATACAAAATTGGTGAAAACTGTATTTCTCTCTTCCAAACCACTCCTTCATGAAAATGTTTGAACTCAACTCTGTAGTGCTGGCTCTTTGGAGCAATACGCGCCGCGCGCAATGCTGAACGCACAACGTACCAGCATACATTTGCACACAAACACAGCTTCATGGAACAAGAATGATCCTTCGCTCGTACCCCCCGCCCTGCAAACAGGACGCTGGGATACTCTGATGAGCTTCACAGAATCTTGTGAAGGAAGTGGCCTATGACCTATGTATAAAGCATCTGGCTGCAGCTGTTCAAGACCGCAGTTAGACAATGTGGCAAATGTTATTCGATAATTCTCATAGAACTGCTCATATTCCATACCGGATGTGATTTCTGTTTCATTGCGGACCATGTGGACAAAATTTTGAGCGTCGCATAATGCAATCCGACCGTTCGTGATTCGAAACGGAGGCTGAGCGAGTGATGGGAATTTTAAATTTACAACACATAAGTTTTACAGAATTTCCTACATTATTACGCTTTTCAACGGGAAAAAACATCTCTAAACTGGAATAAAAGAGTAATGAATCAGTCTTAACGGCCGTTTCAAACCTTGCAGAGTCATGACCTTGATGATGCGCAGGTCACTGGTCACGCAAAATCCAACCAATCAGAGCGTGAATTCATCAGAGTATCCCAGCGTCCTGTTTGCAGGGCGGGGGGTACGAGCGAAGAATGATCCTAACTGTGGAATAGTATTTCCCATTCCCCATGGGCGAATATGACTTTTTGTGCCTCGGTGTGAATGGGAGCAATAACGAATGTCACGTAATGCAAGTTCCACCGAACAAATGACAAGGATCTGTGTGTCAGTTATAACAGCTTATTATGAACTGTAGAAATTGGTAATTTTTGGGAACCATCCAAATTAAGATATATACAGGCTTATCTCTAACTTTACAAAGACATTCATATTTTGTAGCATTCATTTTTCAATTATCCATCCATGGAGATTGAAATTTATTGATCTGTTTGTTATTGTGAACTGATTTTGTTGTGGAGTGTCTCACTTGAAAACTCATAATTAAATTTACCAATATTTCATGCGAACGAAAATCAAAGTACATTTAATTTATTTTCTTCTCCGATAGGAGTTGGTCTTTTAATTTGTTCATTTTTGTCTATCAGGTCTTGACCCACAAGATAACCATTCCACCAGCACCTCTGATGTACCGGTGACTGGCGCTGCCATAACGGATCCTTATCACTGTCTGACGCAACAGCACTTCACCTCAGAGATCTTCAAGATTGAGATCCAAAACCTCCCAAGACATTTTGGATTTGCGGTGAGTTTGCTCTCTAAGCATTGAACCCTCGATAAGGATAATCCTACAGTTTGTGCTCTTTCAAGATTCATATTGCACTCCACGGTTGGATTTCTCAAGGTCTTTTTACATGTATATAACAGAATTAAAAGGCCATTGGATGAATTTCACTAAAAATGTGAAAATATCTAAGCCTCGTGTTTATATGAAAGTAATGGTAAACAACTAGATAATTGTAATCTCTTTTGCATACGTGTACACTTTAATAATTGTTTCTAATGTTGCTGTGATATTTACAGCTTTGGGATTTTCTAAATAATTTGTGAACCTAAACTTCATTGCATTGTACATGTACACATAGCAGTTTGTGCATTAAGGTATCTATTGACTGCCTGCCATGTGCTAAATGAACAAAACAGTCACATCAACCTCGACTAAATCACTTTTGTAACTTTTTGTCTTAAAACAACAGTGACACTGAAGTTCCAGCTCATGACATCACTGTATTGCTCATGAATGTAGATCTCGAGGCACTGTCATAAAAAAAAATTAAAACTTGCAACATCCTAGGACTTATCTAAAGAGGTGTATTTCATAAAAACAAAACCTCAAAATCTGGTTCAAAGGCACTTAAAAACAATATATATTTACAGAGGAAAAGTGCAGGGTATGTTTGTGCCATTATCCCCAATACTGGTATATTTTCACATGAACAAACTTGCTCATATAACACACACAAAAACCTTATTTAAGTAACAAATAAAATATATAGAATTTGTAATTTCTGAATCACTTACATACATACATACATTGAATGAGTTCCAGCTGTTCCCTTCACTGACAGTTGGTTGCAATCTGCTCTGGGCCTACACATTTCTGATGTCATGGTGCATACAAATTAGCAATTCTGCTGAAGTAATTTAACACATTTCAACTCCAGCATATAATGCTGTTGATGTTTCTCGATGTCAAATCTACTTGGCATTCCAATGAAAATGATACATGAAAAAGGCATAAATCTACTCTACACTTTGAACACTACACAGCAAGTTCAAAAGCAACTGCACATTGCTGCCCTTACATGCATGGCTTGCACTCATCAGTTACCAGAAAACATTGTTCTTGACAACTTTCCAACGATTGACTCCCTTCTGGTTCTGGATGTGCATACTGCTGCCCTTGTGCTGATGGCTCAGTGCCAGTCAGCCCAGGACATTGTTGCTGAGTACTTGGAAGTGACTGCTGGCTCTCTGCTGGTTCTGGATGTACACACTGTTCCCCTTGCATGGATGGCTTGCAGTCAGTCAGACTAGAGCATTGTTCCTGATAGGAACTTACAAGTGCTGGGGTCCCCGCTGGTTCTGCTTTGCCTGTAACATTGTTCTTGACAGCTGTCCAGTGACTTCTGACCCTTGGCCTGGCTGTTGCTGCTGCTTGGCCTGGCAGCACGGTGCACTTGGTCATTTTCTGCCTGTGGAATCACATGAAGCTCAATCTGCTTCCCTGGCTGTGATGGTTGGCTGGGATTCCGTCTTGGGCAGCAACGACAGCACAGTTTCAGGAATGAGAAAGCCTCGACTACAGCTTCACGAAAGTCAGCGTTTATGGCACTGTAGACTAGGGAATTAATTGAGCTATTGATCAGTTGCAAAATTTCAATGCATGTAGTCAGAATATTTATTGTCTCTCCAAGTTCCAGATTGGCAACAATCTCAGCAGTTGAAGTATACTTTGAGACCACTACAAGTACATGAATTGTCATAATTGTAGCTGCAGTGTACAGTGAGTTCAGAATGAAGAAAACAGCAGTGTTGATGATAACCACGCAGAGGACCTTGCCTGCTCGCTTGGGACGGTTCGGCAACAGGGCTGATTGCTTGCATACTTTCAATACTACATAGATGTACAAAGCAAGAGTTGCTATCAAAGAGGCAATGTTGATAATGGAAGGAATCCCAAAGTAGACTTTAGCGAACACAGCTTCTGTTAATGGTAAGAAAATCAGAATCACACCAATAATAATTGTTGGCACTCAGAGTCCTGCTGATATCTTTGCTGCTCGAGATTTAGATGCTTTTTCCTTGAATGTCAGAGGATTGCGTACTGCAGAGAATCTCTCAGCTGCTATGGTAACCACACAGAAATTAGAAGTAGCGATGAACGTGCATCGGACACTTGATATTGCATTGTTGACCAATAAGTTGGACTCTACATGTATAGGTGAAAACAATGCAAGTATGAAGAAAGTCATAAGGTAGAGGGAGTCAACCACAGCCAGATTGGATAAGTAGATGTTGATGATTGTACGCATGGACTTCACTCGAATGACTGTGAAGAGAAAGACAAAGTTTAAGCAGAGGCCGATTGGTGCAATGATTTCAGCACTTAACCATTTCATTTGATCAGTTCTTTCTCTACTCATGTAATAGTTCTCAAGATGCTTTTCAACTTCAGTTTTCCACCCAGTTGATGGAGTGGGGCTGTTTTGGTAGCAATCACCCATAGTTCATGCACAATGTAGCATTGAGCTCTGTGAGCTACATTTTATTCAGATTCAGCAAAGAATGTTCTTTTCTATTTCAAGATCACTCCAGATGTATATTTACAGGGATTGTAAGACCTTGAGCAAAGTGTAATTGAAACAGAAAGTTTCTTGTTCTTTTCCTTCTTTTTCCCCCAACATTTCTGTCAGATTTTAATGCATGTGACTATCTTGTGGTATCAGTTCCTGTAATCAAAGCAGATGCTTAAAAAAAGTGAAATAGCACTCTGCACTTTTTACAGAGTTTTACAGGTCATAAAAGATCACAGACATAACGTAACGCTGGAATTATCTGTAACTGAATAAAATTAGATGCAGATCAAAAAATGACACAAAATCTTTCAGGTCGTTCACTACGTTTTGCTTACAACATATTTATTTATAACTCACATTTAGAAACTTGACACAAGCTGTAGATTTGGTGTTTGGATAATCAAGAAAGACATTTAAAATGCAGATACAAATAGTCACTGCATCGACAAAGATTTGAAACCATGGAATTCCTACACTCTCTTGCTTGAAATTGAAAGTGTACTTTAAATTCTGCTATCAAATGTTATACTAAGAAAGTACCCATGAACTTTCTTTTTGTTCTTGGCCCAAACTGATGACCAGCTTTGCAAACAGACTGGCTCCCGTCCATACATTATTGATACTAATTGTGGGGGGGGGGGAACCAGCCTACCCAGCAAGAACAGAAATAATGTTTGGCAGCCAATAATTTGGAATTGTAAAGTAATAATTCAATAACTAAACATGAGCTTTTTTGTGTTTGGTGTTTCATTCAAAAGTGAATAACTTTTGTATTGCTTGAAAAATAGCAGATTGGTAAAGAAATCTGTTTTTCGGGATGAAACTCGAAAATAGCACGGAACTTTAAGAAAATTTAGTACTTCATCTGGCATTTGTTGAGCAAAACTGTTATGTGGACAGTTTTCCTTGTTTTTTTTCCTAGAAGGTACAGCATTAAAGGTTGCATGTCTGTGTAGAGTGTGTGTGCGATTCACAGTTTCAGATGATTCTTATTTTATCTGATAAACTGTCTAACTTGAACACATTACCCTCATTGTTTCAAGCTTAAACTTTAATTTGCACATGCACTACCAGAACTATGAACTGTAGTTAGGAGAATGGTTGTATGTAGAAAGATCACAAGTTCCACACACAATCCATTACCCCTTTGGAGATACGGTGGACACAATACGAAGGCGCTATTTGGTCTGGGTCTAGTCTTTTGCATAAGTTACCCAAATATACCCAAATCAAACACCCTTGTATTGTGTCTGCCATATATCGCAAAAGGCTTATAGCAGTTGAGCTATTCACTTTTTCCAAAATTGTTAAGACTCTGAAATACTGAATGTGCTTTTCACATCTTTTTCCAATCTACAGGTTAAACAACATGGTGACTCCACTGTGGAACCAGCCGTATGAGGACCAGCTATCCACCAAACAAACCAACACCAGGGAGTTTCTGAGGGATTTATCCAAGATGCTGCAACGGAACATTGGGGAGATGTCTTCCTGGCTGAAGCAACAAAGGTGAGCTACTCACCAAAGACACGGGATGGTTGTGGGCCAGAATGGAAATGTGATCTTCGTTGACAAAAAACTGTTCCCAGACACAGTTTTCTGTCAAGTGGACTTACATGCACAGCTGCCCTGAAATTTTGTTAAAAGTCCAGAAAATGATGCCTCATTTTTCTTGAGAATCAATTAAAACTCAGCAAAGTTTTAGCCAACTTCTGAAATAAACTTCCTTTCCACACACAAAAGTCCCAAAGATTAAAAGGGGGAGGGGGGGGGAGGTGGTAAAAAAAATGTTTACAAACAAAAAGCAAAAAAATGAACACAAAACCAAAACTTCACAATACATAAGCTGCTCGAATGAGACTTGCATCAACAATCTCCTGCTTCCTAGTGCAGATGTCTCAACTACTTGACCATCAGGCTTGCTGGGGTTGGCTGGCTGGTCCCAATCTGATATAGCAGGTGCCACAATCAATGAGTTTAATTAATTGTTTACGTAGGGGAGTTGTGAATGTGAATACCTGGTTTTGACCTTCACCAATGTAAATTTGAATGCACTGTATATTCAGTGCTGTCTGAGAGCTTACGAGCAAAGATTCTGCCAGCTTGCTTGGGTGGGATGTGAACCCATGACCTCCTGCTTACTAGTGCAGACATCTTAACGACTCAATAACAGAGCTTGCAAAGGTTAGTGGGCCAGTTTGAATCTTGTGCATATATAGCTGTGGTTACCACAAGAAGAAATTCACAAGCCTGTTGGAGTGGGATTCGAACCCACACTCTCATGTTTAATAGTGCACTCTTCATTTCATTGACAGGAAGAGCCACAGTGGGATGGCATGTGAGTTGGAGCCAATTAAGCCATCGGTGAGTAAGCTAGGTGACAAATATTTGTTGATAAAAATATAGATTTTATTTAAATTTATTTGTAGTATTGTGAATGATTCTATGAATTTTAATCTGAATTCATAAATACCTTGCCTCCGGCTCGGGTAATTATCAGCACCCAGACTCTAAGTGGTCTTAAACAGAGTGATAAAAACCTCCGGAGCACACATTTATTCCCTTATGATAGTTCACTTTGGCACATAGTGTTATGTTAGCTTGACTGGTGTGATCTATGAACTCGGGTAGATAGATAGAGTCACCTTACTTGTACTAAATTAATATTTCAACCTGGATTTCTTGTTAGATAAACTATACAGCATGTGAATCTTTTGTGGGGTAAATATTCCTGACATTGGAGATGTCTGATTTGCTCCTTTAATTTTCATTGTTTGTTTGCACACTCACAGCCAGTATTAGAGAGTTATCGCAACAAGTGTGAGTTTACCATCGGCAAGAGTGTAGATGGCATCGGTGAATGAAACTGGCATTTATTTTTATTTATCCAGTCTCTTCATTTTTTGTGTGTATCTACTCCGTTCACAAGTACCCCCTCGCCTGGATATAAAGTGTGCACACATGTACTTAATGCACCTGTTATGAAAGCTGAACAGAAAGTTCCAGGATTTTTTCTCAGTTATTCCCCTAATTTCTTGTCGGGTCTTCATGAAACTTGGCCCTGGATAAATTGTGCAAACGTTTCAGTTTCATGTCTTATTATTTTCATTGACAGATAACACTGTTGGTTTCCGGCTTGGCGCTTACAAAGGTAAGTATTTCCTCTGAAGTTTCCTTTTTGCAAAAGACGTAGATCAGCTTTTATGTTTGATTGGATCGGCTGTCGAGGGGCGTGGCCTATTAGTAGCTAATGCTGATCAATTCCAACCAATCAGAATGCAATACACAGAAAGATTGACAGGTGTACATTTTGTGCATTGTCTAATATGTCTGTCAGGAATTAATTATTGAAAAGAAAGAAACAAGCCACAAAAGACTTAAAACCTTGTCATCCCCTTTGCTGACCAATATGTTGGCTTACTTTTGTGGCATGAATATTGAGGGTATATGTTTGTACTTTTAACATTGACCAGCAAGCTCTTTTACTCAATAGGGATTTTTCAACAATAACATTTGTACAAGCAAGAATTAGGTTTTAAATACAAAATTCAGGAAAATCACTGTTTGTTTAAATGTTGCTAGTGTACACTTTTATTTATTTTATCACTGATCTTGCTTTTACACGCAAATTTGTTTGTCCTATAAAAAGTGTGTGACTTTCAGAAATGTGGGTTGCCCTGCAATTTTTTTTCTCAAATATTACAAGGCATCAGAAAGATGTAAGAGCTGAAACACCGATTTGGTGATAGTACATTTCTGTGTTATTTGTGTTTAGAGTTTTAAATTACACAAGGAAATAGCAGCTTTAATGAACATATAAAAAGCAGCAATTCCTCGGATACTGTGCAAATTAAGATACATCTTGTATGATGCTAACTTTACAACGACATTCATATTTCACAGCATTGATTTTTCAATTACCCAAATTTGAAGTACCCTTGAGTCCATCTAAAAGAAATATTAGAATATTGCTTTGCATTTAAACATCATACAGACACGGAGCTCATAATGTAATACAACAGACTAGTGGTGCTACACAGATTATGTACAATTATAGAGCATGCAAGTCTCGCCAGTTCACATTCACTTTTCATGTGAACATCTTGGTACCAAACACTGACTAGTCTAGCCACAGACTCCCGTCTTTGAATTCACCCAATGAACGGAAGTGGAGGTCAACATTTTTTCAATTTACTATAGTAATCAACTTGCAATATTTTTTGAAGGTGTTGTAAATTGGAATGATTTTTTCTTGCTCAGAACCCATTCTTTGCCCTTGACTGGATAAACCTAGTAAAATCACCTAGGTTTTTGAGGTCAACTTGCACGCTCTATTGACAGAAGTGGAGTACAAATTGCTGACTTTAACTATCAACTACATTTGTTCCAGCTAGTAGCTGTGAAGACACCTTTGATCCATCAGACTTAAATCCCATACTGTACATCTAAAGCCTACAATGGTTTCGTATATATCTGTGGTCTGCAGGGAAAAAAGTCTATTCAATGGATTTCTCCTTGCTAAGGCCAAAAAAAAAAGTCTTCGGTTTCTGGTATGGAGCTTGCCCAAAAAGTGGTGCGGCGACGGGTTTTTTGTTTTGTTTTTTTTTACCTGATTTTTTTTGCTTCAAATGTCTAAACTTAGTGCAAATATATGGGAGTCCAGAGAGGCCACATCAAGCTTATTCTCAACCATAACCCAATCTAAAAACACGTTAAAATTGTGCAGCAGCAGGATTCCAGTCAAACCAGTGAGTTTGGCGGTTTTGAGACATCAGCTTTCATTGAAAAAAAACCTTTTTTCATTTTGCCGACGCGCATGGCTACGGCGACGCGTGCGCATACCAGAAACCGGAGACTTTTTTTTTTCGGCCTAAAGGGTTTTTCAAGAAACTTTGAACAAAAAACCAGCACTTTATTTGGTCTTCAAAAAAAGTTATCCACATTGTGCATCATGTATGCACAAAGATTGGTATACAATCAGATGCTCCTAATGCATAACTTGCCACTTTGTTGATCTGTTACTTAGGCTGTGTCTGAAACGGGCTTCTAGAGCTATGGCTACGGCTATTGTCAGATTGTTCCCATGTAATTGTTATGGGTGAAGACCTAGACAATAGCCATAGACATCTCACTTGCTCATATTAGACTTTAAAAAACCTAAAAAAAAAATACCAATCTAATCTGTTTTCTTCTCTAATTGGAGTTGGTCTTTTAATCTGTCCATTTGTGCATCAGGTCTTGACCCACAAGATAACCATTCCACCAGCACCTCTGACGTACCGGTGACTGGCGATGCCATAAGGGATCCTTATCACTCTCTGAAACAACAGCTTTTTACCTCAGAGATCTTCAAGATTGAGATCCAAAACCTCCCAAGACACTTTGGATTTGCGGTGAGTTTGCTCCCTATTAAATATTGAAGCCTCAAAAACGATAACCTTGCAGTTTGTGCCTTTTTAGGAGTATGTATGTTTTGTGCTCCATGCTTGGGATTTGTCGAAGTCTGTTAATAACAGAATCAAAAGGCTGTAAAATGAATTTCACTAAAACATGAAATATCCTAGCCCTGTGTTTGTATGAAAGTAATGGTCACATTTTACGCACACTTTTTTGCAATGCCTGTGCACATGTTCACAATTGTTCCTAATGTTGCTGTGATGTTGATTTAGGTATTTTACACTAAACAGCTTCGGGATTTTCTGTATAATTTATGAACCTAAAATTGATTGCATTGTACATGTGTAAAAGTTTGTACATTTGAGTATCTCATTGGTTGCTTGCCATGTGCTAATGAACGGAACAGTAACATCAAACTTGATCAAAACACATTTGTTAACATTTTTCCCTAAAACAGCAGTGACACTGAAGTTCCCGCTCATGACATCACTGTATTTCTCATGAATATGCATCTTGGCACCATCATGAAAATATGTAAAAGTCTGAAACATCCAAAGAAATGGAATACAGAGGTGCATTTCCTAAGATAAAAACCTCCAAATCTGTTTCAAAGGCACTTAAAAAAAACTGTTATTTACAGTGAAAAATTTCAGGGTTATCCATATGTTAGTACCAATACATGTATATTTTCACACTGAAAAAAGTAACAAACTTGCTCATTTAAAGGAAGGGTAGATCATTTGTCACTTGTGAATTTTTTTTCGTTTGCAGCAACAAAAGTGCTCAAAATCTAAAAATGGGAGCTTCACAACTAACACGATGAAGTTTTAGCTCTATGAATGCAGTATATTCCAAAATTATATTCTAGGATCTCGGGTTCATATCAAAAGTTGCTGAGTCATGTTTTATATTGCGTCCAAATTCAGCCTCCAGGGACACATTCTCATTCAGTCAATTGCAGCTACGCGATGTCATGCACTGAACTGACATATAATAGCAACCTAGTGCGCGTGTGCGTCGTGTCAACGCTTGCACGCACATATTCATGGATTCACCGAATATACAAACCAACTACGTGAACTAACTTGATGCATCGTTGGAAATAGCTTTCTTTCATTGTTTCCTTCAAAATGACAGCATGCCAGAAAGAATGATTTCACAGGGAGTTTAGTGCCATCAAAACCAAAAGCCTTTTAACAATAATTTTGTCAGTTACTTTTTGTATAGCTGCAAATGATCTACTCTACCTTTAAACACGAACACAAATTTGATTCAGATAACAGTTAAACTATTTGGGATTTGTTAATTTCTGAACCATTTACATACATACATTGCATGAATACCAGCTGTTCCCTTCACTGATAGTTGGTTGCAATCTGCTCTGGGCGGGCCTGCACATTTCTGATGTCATGGTGCGTACATGTATTGGCAATTCGCTAAAGTAAAACACGTTTCAACTCCAGCATAATATGCTGTTAGTGTTTCTCGATGTCAAATCTACTTGGCATTCCAATGAAGAAGATGTATGAAACAGCCTTAAATCTGCTCTACAGTTTAAACACGACAGCAAGTTCAAAAGCACATTGACTCCGCACATTGCTGCCCTTACATGGATAGCTTGCACTCATCAGGTACCAGAGAACATCGTTCTTGACAACTTTCAAACGATTGACTCCCTTCTGGTTCTGGATGTGCATACTGCTGCCCTTGTGCTGATGGCTGGGTGCCAGTCAGCCCAGGACATTGTTCCTGAGTACTTGCAAGTGACTGCTGGCTCTCTGCTGGTTCTGGATGTACACACTGTTCCCCTTGCATGGATGGCTTGCAGTCAGTCAGACTAGAGCATTGTTCCTGATGAGAACTTGCAAGCGCTGGGGTCCCTGCTGGTTCTGCATGTACCTCAACATGCACTTGAACATGCTGCTGACTGTGCATGGATGCCTTGCTGCTGCTTTGCCTGGAACATTGTTCTTGACAACCGTCCAGTGGCTGCTGACTCTCTGTGTGTTGTGCATGCCCTTGTCTTGATGGCTTGCTGCTGCTTGGCCTGGCAGCACAGTGCTCTTGGTCATTTTCTGCCTGTGGAAGCACATGAAGCTCAATCTGCTTCCCTGGCTGCGATGGTCGGCTGGGATTCCGTCTTGGGCAGCAACGACAGCACAGTTTCAGAAATGAGAAAGCCTTGACTACGGCTTCACGAAAGTCAGTGTTTGTGGCACTGTAGACTAAGGAATTAATTGAGCTATTGATCAGTTGCAAAATTATAATGCATGTAGCCAGAATATATACTTTCTCTCCAAGTTCCAGATAGGCAACAATCTGAGAAGTTGAAGTATACTTTGATGCCATTACGAGTACATGTATTGTCATTATTGCAGCTGCAGTGTACAGTGAGTTCAGAATGAAGAAAACAGCAGTGTTGATGATAACCATGCAGAGGACCTTACCTGCTCGCTTGGGACGGTTCGGAAACAGGGCTGATTGCTTGCGCACTTTCAGTACTACATAGATGTACAAAGCAAGAGTTGCTATCAAAGAGGCAAGGTTGATAATGGAAAGAATCCCAAGGTTGACTTTAGTGGAGACAGCGTCTGTTAATGGTAAGAAAATCAGAATCACACCAACAATAATTGTTGGCACCCAGAGTCCTGCTGATATCTTTGCTGCTCGAGATTTAGAGGCTTTTTCTTTGAACGTTATGGGATTGTACACTGCAGAGAATCTCTCAGCTGCTATGGTAACCACAAAGAAATTAGAAGTAGCAAGGAAAGTGTATCGGACACTTGCTATTGCTGTGACCAATAATTTGTACTCTATAGGTGAAAACAGTGCGAATATGAAGTAAGTCATAAGGTTGAGGGAGTCAGCCACAGCCAGATTGGATAAGTAGATGTTGATGATTGTACGCATGGACTTCACTCGAATGACTGTGAAGAGAAAGACAAAGTTTAAGCAGAGGCCGATTGGTGCAATGATTTCAGCACTTAACCATTTCATTTGATTAGCTCTTTCTCCATTCATGTAAAAGTTCTTGAGATGCTTTTCAACTTCGGTTTTCCACCCAGTTGATGGAGTGGAGCTGTTTTGGTAGCCATCACCCATAGTTCATGCACAATGTAGCATTGAGCCCCGTGAGCTATATTTTATTCAGATACAGCAAAGAATGTTCTTTTCTATTTCAAAATCACTCCAGATTTATACTCACAAGGATTGTAAGACCTTGAGCAATATGTGATTGAAACAGAAAGTTTCTTGTTCTTTTCCTTCTTTTCCCCCAAAATTTCTGTCCGATTTTAATGCATGTGACTATCTTGTGGTATCAGTTCCTGTAACAAAAGCAGATGCATGTTAGTCAGTTTCACTACTTGCACTGACATGAAATCTGAGCATTGAATTTGTTTCAGTTTTAATAATTTGCTCCAGATTAAACATGCATATTGTGTACATGTAATTGTTTTTTATGCAAGTCGTCCCTTCACAAGGCATAAATGCCACTCAATGTGAGGGCTACCGCACAAGAAGAAAAGACAGAAAAAAAAGAGGATGATAGAAAATGAAGACAATTAAGTTTAGTGTGTATGAGAGATGCATGTTCACATTGTGTTTATACAGGGTGATTAAAAAAAAAGTGACCCGCACTCAAGATTTTTTTTCTTACTTTAAGCAATCAAATTAGAGACACTGAAGAAATATGTCTTAAAAGAGCATGTTCTTCCACTCATCTGCAAAAAACCCAATCACTAAATTTGATCATGCCATCCACAGTTTTTTGCATGTTTTACTAAAAAAGAACGTTTTACTAAAACTTTTGCATGTTTTACTAAAAAGCATGTTTTACTAAAAAGAACCCGTTTGTGTAGCTGTCCAAGGAATGCGATAATATTGAAAGCTAAATGAGCTAAGTGAGAATTACAGATTACACACAAGTATTCAAATACAAATGAGATTTTAATAATTGAAATCAAGAGAATTTTTACTATCAGGTTGTGTGTTTTGAATATGAGAAGCAAGTTAAAGGGAATGTACATCATTGGCTTTTGCTGTAATTTTCAGAAATGAACTATTTGGGGGGTTAGTATAATAGATCAAATATTGTTGCACTGACATGTTTGACGTTTTGTGTTCGAAAATGCTGGAAAAACCATGAAAAACAAAAATATTCAAGTAGTCTGGTTCCCTGACTCCACTAAAGATAAAATGGATCAAAAATACCGGAAAATTGTAAGGTAAGGGAACCAGTCTAGCTGGCCTGCACCCGTTCATGAACATTGGAACCAATAGCTAGCAAAACAAAATTTAGACTAAAAAAAATTGGTAAATTTGGAGCAGTAATTGAAAAATAGTTAGTTTTTTCCAACGGTGGTCGGCCGACCAGCGTTGGAAATGTATACAAATATACCATTTTCTTGAAAATGGCTTCACACCAGGTGCCATAATTTTACAGGATGCTTTAGCATGTCATTTACCAACATCCTAGTAAGGTATTTCGTAACAACTTGGTAATTTTATTTTTCGATGTTTGCAAATGTTGTATTTTCCCTTTAACTCTCTTTTTTCTTCGAAATATCGATGGTGATTTTGTATTTCTTCCTTTGCAAGTTCTCGTTCATTCATGGAGGTGGGAAAACAATTGATGTTTCATTATCCTCATTGGGAGATGTATTATCAGTTCGCAGCACGGTAATTGATAAGTTGTGGACAGCCAAGTTTTGTGATCGTTTTATTGAAATAGACATGAATTGGGAATAGAGTTTGCAATTTAAGTGAAATTTTCACAGTTAATAGTCAATAAGATGCAGACTTGTATTCGAGTCACGAAACATCGAGTCCAAGTCCGAGACACATTTCTAGAGTCTAAGTCCGAGTCCCGAGTCCTCCAGGTCAAGTCCGAGTCAGAGAGTCACAAAGGTTGAGTCCAAGTCCGAGTCACGAGTCACCTCTTTGTATAAAAAAACGCACATTTTAGGGAATTCAGAGATTCAGAGTCACCTTTGATATAGTATGGAAATACCTACATTTCAGGTGCTGTAAATTTTCATTTTTCCCGACAGCTTTTCTCTAATTTTCTCTGGAAATGAGGAGTTCATGTAGTTATAAACAGTTTTAAAGGCAATTCAGACAAAACTGGTATTGGCCTAACTTTTGCATTTAAAGTTCAGGCATTTCAAATATTCCTTTTAGACTTCTATATACGTGAAAGGTGGCGATTGAAGTTGGACGTAGTGCCGGTTTTCTCCTCTATTTTCTTCCTGCAGAACTTGCATTCTGCACTTGATCTTCCATTGGCATTTCTCTTGAAGTTAAGATATTCAAAATTGACAATTTTTGGAGTGGATGCCATCATGATCGATGTACGTTGCAACTTGCATGTAACGTTACCAAAACTGGCAGATCAGCAGACTATTCATATCGCGTTATCGCGATGCGACAGCAATACGCTTGTGAACGACAGGACGTCTGACAAGAAAAGTCTGGTACCTTACATGTACCCTATCAATCTTGCACCAGTGCAGTATTGCGTGTTGATGGCGGGGTACAAGTTTCAGTACATTGATTTCTATAAGTCAATATATCGGTAACCGGCCAAGGCCACGCACGCACCACATCGAGCGCCCTGTACAGGTATTGCACAGTAAAGAAAACGATCGAATTATATATGTGCGCGTGTGCAGTGCGGTAATTTCCGTCGAGTCACAAGTCAGTTCAAGTCAAAGTCCAAGTCCGTAGCCCCGAGTTCGAGTCGTAAGTCAAAGTGACTCGAGTCCCAGTCCGAGTCATTAAAAATGTGTCTCGAGTCGGACTCGAGTCCGAGTCCGAGTCACGAGTCGTACAAGTCTGATAAGATGTACTTTAGAGTCACGAGTCATACAAGTCTGATAAGATGTACTTTATCCGTGTTTTTCTATTAACATAGAACGAGCCAAATACTTTAAACGTTTATTTTCAAATTCTGTCACTTTCTTTTTGACTCATCCTGTAGTTGGTTCAACCAGTCACATGGGAATAAACTTGATGAATACATCCTGAAAATGCCTTTGGGGATAATGACAGTATATGGATGTGATTGGACGGAGTAGCAGGTAGTTGGTAGTTGGTTTCAGTTGTTCACTCAAAACATCTTTAAGCAGCAAAAAAAAGAGGACATTTTCTTTTCTATCAATCCTTGTTGTCTTTTTCCCCCAAATGATTTGTGTTCTTCCCCTGGATGTTGATTTATTTACCCATACAACAATTCTGTGCTTCCCTTCTGTTTGATATTCTATTTGATCAAATTATTTATGAAAGTTTTTATTCACAAATCACAATTTGATTTCCGTTCATCAGTTGCCTTTTTTTTCTTTCCTGGGCAAATGTTGGTTGTCATCTGATCAGAGTTTCTTCTTCACTTTCTGGGGTTGTTGTCATTTGAAATCAGTCTCTGCCTTGCCTGACGATCAAGTTGATGTTGTCATATTCTCAGTTTTGTTGATTGAACATCTTTGCAAGACAATTTGCAAGGGCTAACTACTTGATCTAACTACGTGGTGGCATGGTTTAGTAAAAGTTTGCAGTACCACCATGTAGAAGTCTGTTTTGGGAAGATGTGTGGTTCTTTTCAGAACCACACATCTTCCCAAAATAGACTCTGCATGCCTACATGGTGTTACTGCAAACTGCAAACCTTCACTAGAACACTGTCTTCCACAAATGTGACAATTGGGAAGGGGAAAGTGTGTTTGTCCATTTTTGTTTGGGGGGGGGATATAATCCCCAACCCCTTTTCTTCCCCTGACATCCCCCCCCCCCCCGCCCCTGATTCTATGTAAATATTTCGATGCTAATCATACTTGTATTGATGATATTTCAATGATAGATATAAAGTGTTTGAGGACCTACGTGGATCTGTTTGGGCCTACAACTACGTCCATTCACTGAGCGGATTCGGGATTACCCATCGAGGACTCGAAAAGATAGGAGAGAACAAGGCCAGTTTCTTCGGTAAAATTATCCAGTCAGGTAAGACAAACATCTGTGAAGACTCATTGCATTGGTCTGCATCTCAATTCTATATGGATAGTTGTGAAATTCGAAATTGTGAATTAGAAAGTAGGAATCAACTGTATTCGATTTCATCCATATAATATTGATCTTCTTTTTCATATATGTATTTTTTTTGTTGCCCTTCCGTGAAGTAGTTTACAAACACTGTACACATTGAGTTTTGTCCGAGGGTTTGCAAGAAAAAAAATCAACAAGCTTACTTCTGGTTGGACACGAACCCACAACCTTCTGCTTCCTAGTGCAGACACATTAACCACTCGACCACTGAGCTTGCTGTGGCAAGCTGGCCGTTTGGAGTCTGATGAAGCAGCGCTTAACCCAACTTTGTTTGTGTAGGAGGTCATTAGTTCGAGTCCCACCTAAGCCTTCGGACAACACTAAGTGCACAGTGTTTACAAAATATGTCTGCGAAGGGCAAACAAAAATCAAATATAAAAAAGGCTAATTTACATCTCATAATTTTTTTTTTCCTGCCCAGGTTCCCATCTGAAGTCCATCCAGATGATCCTTAATAAGACAGCAGACGGTACAGGCATCAACTCCAACACCCTAGCCTTACAGATGAAGGGCCATCCTGAGCTGAGGGACTAGCTTCATGTCGTCACCTCTTGGGGGCCTTTGCCTGTCTACCCTGGGGTGGTCAACTCAGAATTACCTGGTAGGTACAGTGGACTCTGTGACCAAGTACCAGTGTTGCAGTCGAGTTACCAACGTCGAGTCCGAGTCCGAGTCCAAGTCTCGAGTCACAAGCCTCGAGTCTGAGTCACAAGTCACTTGTTCTTAGTTGTTCACCAAACTAATCGTTTTTTAAAATTATTTTTTAATCCTCCATTCTGTCTTTTAAGTAAATCCTAGTGTATATAGTTGTGGTTGTACATGTTGTTTAGAGCCAAAATGTGTTTTCCTTTTAATTCCCATTCCTAAAAAATCTTCCTCCAACCCTTCCCTCCATGTTTTATCATCCAAACAGTATTCCTCAATGATCCTTTCCCATCCCTACGTTAGGTTTTTACTTTTGATGAAATTACTTGACTCGAGTCGCGAGTCATCAAGTTCGAGGAGTCATGGTCAAGTCCGAGTCATTTTCCAATGTGACTAGAGTCGTACTCAAGTCCGAGTCCTAGACTTGAGTCCTACAACACTGCCCAGTAATCCCTCTTAAGAAAAAGTTTAGGTGGAACTCTTGAACGCATCGTCGCCCAACACCTTGTGCTGATGTTAAGATATTTGATGATCATAGTGCAGTGTTCATATAGCACTCTTATACAACACTCTCAGATTGCTCACACTTATTACCCCTGTTCATCAGGCCATGAGAACACTTTCCTGCTATAAGCTCGAGATCAGCCCTATGTGGTCAACACCCCCCCCCCCACATGTACTCAATGGAGGCAATTGTAGTAATGTATCTTACCCAAGAACACCAGCACCGTGTCCCCTGTCAAGATTGACTCAACATAACATCGTGCATGAGTCAAACACAGGAACCTTTTGACCACAGGACTCTGTATGCTGAATAAAACTCTAATCAAATAACCGTAACAAATGACGTATAAACACTGTATGAGTGTGTTACCTCCTAAGTGAAAGTTGGAGAAAAAAAATGTTGGCGAGGGGCAAAACCCAACTTGATTTACATAACCCCAACTTAAAATTCCATCTTATGAATAGTTAATGCTATACCTGCTGCTATGTACATCAGATTCGAACCAACCAACTGATTCCCTTAGCTCAGTGGTTGAGTGGTAAGACATCTGCACTAGAAAGTAGGAGGTCTTGGGTTCGAGTCCCACCCGAGTGATTTTTTTCCAACTTTCACTCGGGAGGTAACACACTGACCGTTTATACCAACCGTTTATACGTCGGTGAAGGGCAAAACCTAATTTGATTTACATCACCCCGACGCAAAATTCCATCTTATGGATACTGAATAAAATGAGTGATACACATGTACATACTTTGCGTAAAGATATTTGTTGTGTGGAAGAGGAAAGTACCTTAGACAGTCAGACTACCGTTTAAACAGAAGATCTGACCTGACACGTGTACATGAGGACATACAAGGGCCTCATGATTCTGATATTTAGTACGCTTGTAGATATTTAAATAATGTTGAACCCTGCATCATAGGTCAATCTGACAATCTACGCGTTTGCCAGTATCAGACTTTAAACGGCCTGCAAGAACCTGCCGTTTTGAGTCTGCGTTTAGATTAATCACCATTTTTCTCGTCTCATGTTGAATATTCTTTGGTCTTTTTTTTCTCATAGGATCTCAAGACATCTATCAGCAGGCATCTTCTCAACATGCATCTCGACCCCAAATGGCAAGCTCAACTGAACCAATACATGGTGTCCAAATTTGTGCCGGTTACACTGGATCAGTACAAAGGATTGTTAAAAAATAAACAAACAAATGTTCCAATAAACCAAAAAGGGAAACCGACGATTAGTGCATTATGAAATATATTGCATTATTATAATATAACAATTGTAACAAAATAACAAGACAGTGTTATATTTAAAAAAATTATGATTAATTCATTGTTGAAATCAGTACTCTTAAAATGGAACTTGTCATGATGCAATTTTGTGCTCTAAATTAATAATGCAATATACATATTTTATTATGTAAACATGTTTTTTTATATATATTTTACTGAAACCACAGAGACTAGTTGTCAATGTACAAGCTATTGTCACATCTTACTGTGTGCAATGAGTTCGTTAGCAGGGCTCAAATTTTGTGTGAAAATTTTGTGGACAACAGTACCTGAAAGTATTGTTTACTGGACCAATGTACATTCACAGATAAAATTGAAACACTGTTAACTCAAAGCCATGTGCATCATTTGCAATGACCTGGAGAAGCATTGATTTAATGACAAAAACTCTGCTCAAAGTCAAGATAGGAGTGGTACCAAATACTCTTTGAAAATATTCCAGCTGAAATTGTTTCGTGTGGATGAAAACTGAGGTGGTGTTGAAAGAGGGTGTCCACGGCACATTATGCATTAGCAATGGAATCCAGTTTCAAGACACCCCAAAAAAGTGAATGTATTTCCTCGGTTTTCTTAAAACGTATACTATCCAATCAGCCTTCAACAGGTTAAATGTCATGCACCCTGCTTCAGACTTTTAGCAATTTTGTTGCTTCAAACGATAGTAAAGGCACAAGAAGCAAACAATCATATGTACCTTTTAAGAAAGTTGCAGTCATTAGGATTATACAAGAAGTGTATTTCATTGCTTCTGATGGTAAATGGGAAACATCAAATGTGAACATTTTTAATAGTCAAATGACTCTTGCATGTGTAGGATTAGTCATGATCATGATAATCTGAGACCAGATTTGGACAGCACATGCAATCATGAAAGGCATGTATTCATCTGAGTGCAATGTGTAATTAGAAAACATCAAGATGAATTTGTATTCCCTTTGTTTTAAGTTGCCAAATCTTCCAAAGAATTTATATACAATTTAGAAGTGTTTTTGTCATTTCGTATAACCTTCGCGAGTGAAATACATTGGAACATCAAAACAATGTGTGTTACAGTGAAGTGCAAATTTGCCTTGTTGAGATTATTTATGCAAATGCGATAAGGTTTTCTGTCATGGATGTTGGTATGAACGTAGATGATGTGGATATGATTCACCTACTTTAATGTACATGTAGTTGTGTTTGTCATTTATAATACATGTACACCATATAGTTATTAAACTTATCAGAATTTTTGTGCTGTAAATTTTGGATTTTTGTGACTTGGTTTAAATATCAACAGTCACTTCTTTCATATTTCAAAAAACTATATTTCCAATGGCAAATTATTAAAGTAGATGCGGTGTTTGAAATGAATCAGACTTTCTATTCTATAAATGTTCTAGTTTTCTGGCAACGTGATGTTAGAAATGAACTCTTTTGAACTTTTAATAAAATTGTATTTTCAATGGCAAATTTTATATTAAATACATGTACATGTAGATCTGAGCCAATTTACTTGTTTCAGTCAAATTATTCTGTGTGAAAGATTGACCATTTTTTCCTCTTGCTTATGTCATTGTGTCACGCTTAATTTCTTGTTTACAGAATCCCAATGTTTTCAAGTAGATATCATGGCTGATGGAAAGTACTCAAGAAAAATAATCAAATCCAAATTTAAAATATCTTGAAAAATTTAAGTATCTTCCTTTTCTTGTACATATATTCAATGGGGAGTGCCCAGGGGAGTGCCGATAAAAGCCTACAATCGTGCACACTACATTACCTAATAGTGTACAGGGGCGGATCCAGGAATTTCGCGGGGGGGGGGGTTGTTACATCAGCCAAAAAATCCGATGTAAACAGAGACCGTTCGAATGTAACATCACCTTAATTCTAACATTTGCTACCGTCTTTTTGTACGGAATTCCTTTTTTTTAATGGGGGGGGGGGTCTCAACAAACGTTTGGGTGCTCCCTGCCCCCCCCCCCCCCCCCCCCCACACTGGTGGAACCACATCTGAGGGTGAGTTCCCTCAAATGACTCGGCCCATTTCGGTTCTGTAGGCCACATTTCTTGCGTTTACCACAATTTGGTAAAAAAATAATGGACCCAGGATATTATACATATACTTAAACACAAAAACATACATACATAATCTTTACACCGTTCTAAAGGAACTTTGTTCTACTTTTTTTCATTTTGAGGTAGCATTTTTGGTATCAGGGGTCAATCTCTCTGGGGGTAATCTTGCCACCAAGTCTATGTTAAAAAGTTTCTACCGGTAACTTTAACAGCGCCCTCTAAACAAATCTTTGAGAGTGGTGTTTTTGAAATTTCGGACTAGCTTCGGACTCGGTGTCGTAATCATTTCCACAACTAATTACATGTCCGATACAAGCAAGTCATAACATTTGGGCTGTCAACAACAAGAAATGTTCAAAGCAAAACAAAGACCGATACCAGTATATCCCGAAAGTGACAAAATAACATCGCTAGAAGTCAAAGCTAAATCTTTCAAACGAAACCAATGTTTACGAAAATTCCCAAGGTATGACGTATTGCCCACGTGAGGGCGCATACAGGTGGTGTTGTTTTGTGACACTGACAGGTGCAAAATGAATGATTGCAATTCACACGTGGTGGTTTGTTGTCATGTCAGTGCTGCATGCACATGTCACAATGAAAAGACCCTGCACTCAAGCCCGTCTCGCAAGTGTCGTCGCCATGTTGGGTCACTTTCTCCGGATGTTTTCATGGTTGTTTCTCTGCTAATTTGTGAGGTACTTGGTTCAGTGCGTCTGCCGTCAACTCGATTTTCTTAACCCCTGAAAAACTGCAAGAAGTTCATGGCCTGGTCGTGAGTATTTAACAGGGACAGAATCGTATTACCAAGGTTGCGATCATGGCGATGTGCATTCACAAAGCGCGGGGTTTGCAATCGAATCAACGTACAATTTTCCGTAAACCGTAGATCTAAAATTTTCACATAATCCTATTTAAACATTTTGGATTTGAGCATGTTAAGGAAGTGACAGTTAAGCTAGTGGTTTCTCACGTTCGTCATGTGCATTTTCCCATGTTGAATAACTTGAAGTGTTCAACATATTTAATTGGCCTGATCGAAGATCAATCTGATAATTGACAATTATTATGTACCAAAAACAGGGCTGATGGCTTTCAGGGACTTCATTCATCCTTGCAACATATCTCTCTCTCTGTTATTTTAGTCTCTATTGTATTGGAGTGGTGATGTGAAGTAGTTTTCTACAGGAAATAATTAATGCTGGGTTCCTTTATTTTCAATAGGACCCAAAGAAATATTGATTGTGAAAAGAATGCAAAAGTCATATCCGTCACACCTTTTGTGACGGAAATGACAATTATTATATTACTTGGCTTTTGGAGGTATAATTACCTTTTCAAGTTGTTTACATTACAAATTATGGCAGTAGGTACATATTGAGAAATACACGGGGACATGCATTTTGAGGGGGTTTTGAGGGAGTATTGTAAAGAATGAGCATCTTGTCCATTATGTTAAAGAGTTTTTAACACTGCACATAATAGGAGTCGTGTTAATTTCACTGCTCAAAAATCTTATTTTCATTCTATATTTTTTCGAATTATAGTGCCTTAAAGTGTCGGGACATGAAAGTAGACACTTGATACTGAAGAATGACCCATAGGCCCCTTTTAATAAAAACTTGCTGGGAGTGTACATGCGGGAAGAAATTCATGATAAACTATCTCCAGCATTTAGGATAGAGATAAACCCACGAATGATTCTAGCGTAAGGTTGATGCATTGGCAGTTGTACTGTTTAACTATGTTCACTATAGGGTGTCAGTGGGTACATTTAATTTTTTGAAAAGAAGCTGAAACAATTAGAAGCAGTAGGTGAAAATTAACAAAAATCCACTTTGAAAAAAGATGTATATCATAAATTTAATTTAGCTACTTAAACTGTGCCTATTAATTTACTTGTGCTTTTAACAAATTCAATAAATATATAAAATCTGATATCAAAAAGTATTTTTGTCCTCTGCAGGCTGAGTGTAAACATTAAACTGAAATCCACAGGCAAAAGGGGAACTATGTATTGGTGGAGTGAGGAAATTATGGATGTGACATTTACACATTTAAACATTTAAAATAATAAACAAAATTCTAAATCGTATTTTTCCAAAAGTTTTAACAAAACTCAAATTTTAAAAACAGGAACCTATTTTCCGCTATCTTCCTTTGAGTTGAGCATGCATAACAAAAATAATCCAAACCTATTCAATTTGCTAAAAGCTAAGGAGAACTGCAGTACTAGATTACTTTCAGGCTACGTGCTCATCTTTTTATTGTTTTCAATGACAGCCCTCTTTTTATTATGTTACTCATTTATTATTTGTTGTGTCGATCATGTTGGTCTGCACAATGGGCAGTCGTCAGTCTTTGTGAAAGGGCTCAACATTGAGATGGTTCTTTAAATGTTTGCTAAACATTTACAAAATGAAACGTCACATCCTTAGAAGACATTGGAGGAGGAGGTCTAAGAAATTGGAGGAGGAAGGCAATTGGAGGTCTGTGGATGTTTGAGCTACTACGTACATGTAGAGGGTAACAGATGTCTCTGATGGTGATGCTGAAGTTTTGCAGAGCTATCGTCTGTTTGCTGACCTTCATTGCTAGACGGACAGAGCATGGATGTAGCTGCTTGATACTCATGATGATGGTGTCCCTTTTGGTGAGTGCTGGGTGTTCACTGATTTCCTGTAATTCTCCCCATCTGCCATGTGCTCTGTGTTTGTGCTGTCTGGCGTTGAGTTCTCTTGCTGGTGTACCCAGTGTACACCTTCTGCATTCGCAGGGGATGCATCAGGTTCGGTCTTGGAGGCTTGCTTGTCCTGTGGGCTATTGTGGATCTTGTGGGTGTGGAAAGCCCGGATACCTTTGTCATTTAGGAAGTACTGGATGTGATGAGAACTGCCTGTGTTGGGCTGTGTAATAGGCGGGGTGAGCCTAGTGGGTTCGACCTTGGGTGTAGGGGACCCTTTGGTAGGTGAAAGACTTTGGATCTTGCGTCTTGACTGGATGAGCCTTGAATCTGTTGTGTTGTAGTGCTGTCTTGATATGGTAAAGTTGTTGCCGGCCAGGATTGTGGTTGCTGATGCAGGCTTCCCGGACAAGGTTGCTCTTTGACTGGTGTTTGGATTTCCGGGTGCAGGAAGGATTGGTTGTCGATGTTGCCAGTCAGTGTCTGTCGGTCATCTCTAATAGACTCAGGGGTCGAGGGTGTTGTCAGACTGTTTTCAGACCTTAGCATCCGGGGATGAGATTCAAGGCGCCTGATCCTCACTGCGCCAGATGCTGCTGTAAATCCAGTTGAAGTCTTTCAGGACCTGCTGGAGGTCCCATGCTGTATGATGAAGTGATGAGAGTCTCATCCATGTACTGAAGACAAACTCTTGGTCTCAGATCTACGAAGGCAGTACTCCTATATGAAGGCATTGACTAAAACTGGGGATAGAGTTGATCCTGTGGAAGTTCCAGAAGGCTGCTTGGACAACTGGCTGTTCATTGGAAGAAAGACAGCAGGATGTAGGTGGGTCGCAGATCATGAACCTGGTTTGGAGTGTGGGGCTTCATATTTCTGCAGGGCGTAGTCAAGTCGGAGTCCCCCTTGGCACCGAGGCATGAGTAGCCTGTGGGGATGGCAGTGAATATCTGGTAGCCTTCATCGGGGTTGACCATGGTGTCGTTGGGAACACTGTGAGGTTGCGCTCATGGTGTCATTGGGATCATCACCCTCACCATCCCCATCACCCCCACTGGCGGCCGCCACCACCCCCCTCACCCTCACCACCACCATCACCATCATCATCATGCTGCTGCTGCTGCGCTGCGCTGCGCTGCGCTGCTGCTGCTGCTGCTGCTGCTGCTGCTGCTGCTGCTGCTGCTGCTGCTGCTGCTGCGAAAACCTTTACTTGTGATCCCAACAAAGCCATGTGCAGCTTCAGTGGAGACTCCAGGTATTCATCACCAATCCCATGGGTGAGGCATGTCTCAAGGTCTCGGTCAGGAAACCTTCATGAAGACAAGCTGTGTGAGTGTGAAACCCTCTCTCTGGATTAGGTTTGTGATCTCCTACCCATCTACATCCTGCCGTCCTTCATCCAGTGGACAGGTCAATTCTTCAAGCAGTCAGCTGGAACTTCCACAGGATTAACCCCATCTCCAGTTCTGGCCAATATCATCATATAGTTCTGTACAGCTTTCGTGGATTTGAGAGCAACAGTTATCTTCAGTTTGTGGATGACACTTTCATCATTTTATCACACAGCACAGTACCTCCAGCAGTTCCTGAGACACTTCAGCTGGTTCACACACAGCAGCATCTGGCTCACCTTGGATCGAATCTTCTTCCTGGATATTGAGGCCTCCAGGCAGTCTGGCAGTATTCTCAGCCCTTTTGTCTATCAGAGAGCCACACATTGATAGGCATCTCCACAATCAATCTGTCCAGTGCCCTGGGATCTATTCAT